TTTTTTTAAATGGAAACAGTAACTCTTAATTCTAGGGCAACAAACTTTTAAGGAGGGTTGTATTTGGGTTTTTCAGAGATACAGGACCAATAGGTTTTATAGAGAGAGAGGGAGGGAGGGTGGGAGATTCATTTTAAGGAATTGGTTCATGTGACTGGCGGGGCTGGCAGGTCCCAAATCTGCAGGGCTAGAAACAGACAGGAGATGACTTTGCAGTCTTGAGTCTGAAGGCCGGAAACTCAGGTGGCATTTCTATGTTGCCGTCCCAGGACAGAATTCCTTCTTCTTTGAGGAACCTCAGTATTGCTCTGGCCTTTACTTATTGAGTAAGTTCCACCCACACTATGGAGGGTAATCTTTACTCAAAGTCTACTGCTTTATTTATTTAAAAAAATAGAAATATAGTTGATTAATACAATATTATATTAGTTTCAGGTATACAGCAGAGTGATTCATTATTTTTACAGTTAAAGTCTACTGCTTTAAGTGTCAGTCTCACCTAAAAAATACCTTCAGAGCGACATCTTGACTGGTTGTTTGGCCAAACAACTAGACACCATAGCCTAGCCCAGCTGACACATACAGTTGACTCTCACAAAGGTCTTGGTGAGGAAAGTAAACTTTGTATGAAAGAGAAATTCACACTGAAGTTTCAGTTTTTAGTTTGGGACAGGGGAGAGAGGGCTGATGGCTGTAACCACCCTGAGGAACCTCCTGGGAAATTTCTGCATGGAGAGGGGCTGTCCTGGGATAGGACCCAACGGGTGCTGCCCTGACTCTCCTCCAGCCACAGAAGTCTTCTGCTGGGAGCAAGAGTACACACAGACACTAAGCAGCATTGGGTGGGGCCGAGGAAGAGTAATAACCTTGTGGACATGGTAATCTCACCCCAGTAGGCTCCATCCTATACCATTTATACTATAAAATGAGATTGAGGTTTGGGGCAGTCCTAAGGAAGGGGTTTTGCTTCCTCTTTTACTGAGAACAATGAAACAGTCAAAGGGAACTTCTGCAGGTGTTCTCTGCCACATCCACTCACCCCCCTGTAGGCACACAGCTTAGTTCTGCCTTCTCTTATTGCTACTAAAGTAAAACCGTAAAGTTTTCTTTAGCTTCTTTGTTATGTATTTAATAACAATATTAACTGCTAACATTTATGGAGCACTCTTCTAAGCCGTTTGATCACTGTAAAAACCTTAAAGGTAGGTATTATAGTTATCACCATTTTACACATGATGAAATCAAAGCACAGAGATACACATACAGTAATTTGTACAAAGTCTTGCAGTTTTTTTTATAGTAGGGCTGGGATTTACATTCAGGCAGTCTGATTCCAGACCACGTAGTCTTAATGAGAATGGAATTTTTTATTTGTCTCTTGCATGCTCTGATTCTTCTTTATCTTCCTTCTTATTTCCTGTAACATATGTGCGCACTTGCCCAGTGTGCACATATGCCGAGCTGTTCTTTTCATCTTACTCCTATTGAATGTGGGGGGATTCCTTTGGCACCTTCGTTTGCCTAGATATAGAGTGAATACATTCTGGACTCTCTTTCCTTCTTATCCTGGACCTGTTGATCTTCCCTTCAGAACTTCTGTTTAAGGGCTCCATTCTGATGGGTTGTATCTTTCCACATTTCTGTTGCCCTGAAGGGATGTGATTAACTCAGTTGGGCTGTGGTCAATAGTAATTGGTCGTTTTGGTCTTAGATCTTTTCTGGGGCAAGGGATGGAGGTGGAGGTGTCATTCAGTCAAGTGAAAAGCAAAACCAAACCAGAAAAGGTTCAATCTTACAGAGAGCGATTTGGCCAAATCTTATCACGATGACAAATGCATTTGTCCTTTGATACAGAAATCCTGTTTAGGGCAATTATTCTGCAGATGACCCTGCACTTAAATGACCTTTGTACAAAGTTATTCATTGCCGCATTGTTCATGATAGTAGTAGACTGGAAACAAATCACATATTGAAGAACGGGACAGTTATGGTACATTCACATGCTAGGAGACTATATAAATAAGAGGAGGTTCTCCGTGTGCTGATATGGAAGGCTCTGAAGTTATATTACTAAGGGAAAAAGCCATCTACTATCTATCTGTCTATCTACTTACCTACCTACTGCTGTTTGGCAGTGTATGTGTATATATACATTAATACTTTTTTTAAAAAAAGGAAAGAAAAAATATATGTATTCATGAGGAAATATTGGAAGGATATAGGAAAAACTAATAAAAGCGGTCACCAGTAAGAGGCCATGGGGGCAACAGGATGGATGGGAAAGACAAGGATGGGAGTGGGACTTTTCAATATAAATATTTTCTTTTTTTTTTGGTGGTGGTACGCGGGCCTCTCACCGCTGTGGCCTCTCCCGCTGCGGAGCACAGGCTCCAGATGCGCAAGCTCAGTAGTTGTGGCTCACGGGCCTAGTTGCTCCGCGGCATGTGGGATCTTCCCGGACCGGGGCACGAACCCGTGTCCCCTGCATCGGCAGGCGGACTCTCAACCACTGCGCCACCAGAGAAGTCCCCAATATAATTATTTTCAAAGTTTACCCTTCTAAAAAAGTAAATTTAAAAATGTACACACACACACACACACACACACACACACGTTTTTATTCCTGTGAACAGTGGTCCTGTGTGCCTCTCCCCTGCAGCCACCTTCACTCTCCTCCCGCTTAGCTGAGGGGTAGGAGCTGAAATCTCAGTGTTTTGACCCTGATGCTAACTGTCCCTGATGGAGGAGGAGGACATTGAAGAGGCTTTGCAGGGTTCTCTGTGCCAGCCTTCTCTCCTCCCCTATTTCTTTCTGCTTCCCTGCCTTCCTTTTGTTCTCTTTGTTGATGGAGTTAATTAGCTCAAGGTGAACACAGTCAGGTTCTCCCCCCTTCCTTCCAGCCTTGAGAACCCCTGTGAAGAATCTGGACCACTTCCCCATCTCTGACTCACGTGGTGGTGGGAAAGGCAGATCTCCAGCGCAGAACTTCCCACATCTTTTCCCGTTGGCTAACTCCTTACCCTCCTCTCCAAATTAGAAGGTTATGGTGAAGTTTTCAGACATTGTCACTAATTTTCTTCTTGCTGGTCTGCTTCTGGTGGGGGTGGGCAGGAGTGCTTGGAAGTTGGAATGGCACATGGTAGATTTCTGGAGTATTTTGCTGTTTCTTGCTGACCAGTGTTTAAGAAAAATGAGACGTAAAATTGTAATTTTTATTCATAATGTAATTCTTTTGTTGTTTATTTTTATTTATCTCAAAAGATTCTGTGTTCTGACTCAACACACCATTTTACCTTAGAAGTTTACAACACTTTTTAGTGAAAATCTTTTATATTACTTCACATGCACTCATCTGCAGCAGCTAGTGATTAAGATAATGAAGTTGGTTTAACAAACCTATCTCAACGAATAAGTGAAGATTATTTTAATTGACGCTTTAATAGATTTCTCTGGATAGTTTTTTTTTTTTTTTAATTCAGGGGAACCTTCTTTCGCAATTCTGCATGGTAAAACTTTTTTCATGATACAATAAAAAAGTCAGCAGTTAATCCTAACCAGTGAAGAGAGTCTGTGTTCATTTAGGTTTATTAATTGGGATATCAATAGCATTGGAGGGTTGTCATGCCTTAGACTACCACTTGGTGGCTGGCACAGTATACTGTGGATCAGAACCTGAAGTACAGACAGAATAAATGACAGGCAATAGCCAGCAATTCCTTCACTATTCAGAGGCAGTAGCAAACCCTTTCCGTCCGTATATACGTTAGAAAAAAATTCTCTGTGTTTTTCCTTGTTTTTTCCTCCCATAACAGTTTTTCACCATTTTTGCCGAATGGTTTCTTCTAAACCTGAAATATTTTGGTATATGTAGCTATGTTACTTAAGTCATAATGAATAAAATTCTGATTTCTTCTTGAACTCTGGTCTTTGCCAATGAACAATAAATTAAAATGCTTTAGAATATAGTCTGTGGGCCCATAGTTTGAAAACATGGAATTTATAATTATCTATTCTAAATTTTCTGTCTTTTGATAAAAAAGAAACCCCCTTGAAACTGCCTGTTTGGGGGTTATATTAACAACACTGCCGACATTATCTGAAGATTTATTTAAATTAGATTCACATGGAGTACCTTTCTTTCAGAGCTGATCTAATTCTTACACTCTGAATTTAGGATTTTTAAAATAAAAGAACGAGTATAGACTACAATGATTATTTGTTAATTTCACTGGTGAAAATCACAAGGCTTTGTTTCCAGATTTCACTTCCAAACCAAGATGTTAATTTCTCCCAAGGTGAATAAATGTTTTCTTAAGTATTCCCAAGATTAGCTGGAAAAGATATTCTTTACTTTTCACAGTCCTTATTATAGTTTCTGCACCAGCCCCACTACAACATGGCCTGATCTAGACAAACAAAAAAGCTCTGAACCCATGAATTCTGGGCAACAAGTCATTTGACATTTCAGATCTTCTCTTTGTTCTGAGTCAGTAGAGCTGCCTGCTAGCCACCTTTAGGATATTTGTATTCTGTTTTGTATTTGTGTTTGATACAAAAACAAATTTTGTGTTTAATGTTGGAATATTCGGTTTCTTTAGGTTTTCCTGTTTCTAGCTTACACAGTAATTTGGTTATGGAGAAGTTGGATTTAAACTCCATATGGGTAGAGTTGATATGGTACCTTTTCTCTAAAATACCAAAGTAATTTATTTTAATTTGGAGGTATATAGTGTGGTTATAATACGATTTAAAATTTCCAAATATCTCCTGTTATATTAAACTGGACCCTCTGTTTAACTAACCCTTGACTACCTGTGGTAGCCCTTGTGAAGCTCAAGAAAGACCAGTGATTTCATTTCCCAATGATCTGTTTGGCAGTTCTTTCTTAGAGAACTTTATATTATAATCTTTTTGAGGTTTTCGGGGTGAATGAAATTTTCCATTTTTAATGTTTTGATTAAGTTTATGGTATTCTTCTGCTTTGTTATTTCTCCTTTTAGAATGAAATGAAATGCTGAGAAATAAAGCTTTCCTATTCTGATTTGGATCTTTATAATGGGTATCGGAAAGTCTAAAACGGATCCCTGCCCTCTTTCTCTCTCTTGGGGTAAAAGCCACAGTGTGGATACGAGTCAAAGACATCACAAGTCAGATTCCAAGAAATCTGAAGAAATGTCCCTGAGTGACACTGCTGCTCATAGCAATACAGCAGAGATGCCAACAGGGGAGCAGGAGGGAGCCAGGGGAGTGGAGGAGATGCCAGAAGAGGAAGCAGAAGAAGAGGTGTTCCTCAAATTTGTGATACTGCATGCTGAGGAAGACACAGACGAAGCCCTCCGAGTCCAGAATCTGCTGGAAAATGACTTCGGCATCAAACCTGGAATAATCTTTGCTGAGATGCCATGTGGCAGGCAGCATTTACAGAATTTGGATGATGCTGTCAATGGGTCTGCCTGGACAATCTTATTATTGACCAAAAACTTTTTAAGAGATACCTGGTGTAAGTTCCAGTTCTATACGTCCCTCATGAACTCTGTCAACAGGCAGCACAAGTACAACTCCGTCATCCCCATGCGGCCCCTGAACAACCCCCTGCCCCGAGAAAGGACTCCCTTTGCTCTGCGAACCATCAACGCCCTGGAGGAAGAAAGTCGTGGCTTTCCTACACAAGTGGAAAGGATTTTTCAGGATTCTGTTTATAGGATACAGCAGGCTATATGGAAAGAAACCAGAAATACGGTACAAAGGCAATTTATTGCCTGAGACGGAACACACAACACACAGCAGGCTCTTGTTTTGAAAAACAAATGATTTATCTCCACTTGAGAAAGCAAATTTCTAGGAAGAGTTTAGATGAAAGAGAACCTTACTCTTACAGAAACTTATGGAGCCCAAGAAAGATAAATTTCTGCAGGACAGTCTATAGAATTGTGGTACTTTTTAATGTTTCCATAAACTTGAAATTGTCAGAGTTTCAAAAAAAAAAAAAAAAGAACTCTGTTTCCTCTCACAGTTCTCCTAGTTCATGATTACAACAAAAGATATTTTAAATTCATATTCCTCGTATTGAACTTGATCAAAACCTTATATGACAGACATTTAAAAACTACAATAACACTGATTTTGTTCTCAAAGGAACCGCAGGAAAAAAATGGCCTCGAGAGATCGGAGCACCCTCACTTTCGAGGCACCTCTCATGAATGTTGCAATAAAGTGTTCCTGGTGTTGTCAACCAGAAATAGGGATAGCCAGACTAGAACATTTAGAATGTTGAGTGCTGATAAATATGAAACCCAAAATAGATGCGAGAATGGTAGGGCTCTTTAAAAGAATCCAATCAGGGACTGCCCTGGTGGCGCAGTGGTTGAGAGTCCGCCTGCCAGTGCAGGGGATGCGGGTTCGTGCCCTGGTCCAGGAGGATCCCACCTGCTGTGGAGTGGCTGGGCCCATGAGCCATGGCTGCTGAGCCTGCACGTCCGGAGCCTGTGCTCCGCAACGGGAGAGGCCACAGCAGTGAGAGCCCCGTGTACCGGGGGCGGGGGGAGAAGAATTCAATCAAATGTGTTTCCTTTCTGTTTGAATTTGCATATTTGGAGGCAGTTCTCACCACTGATGAGTGGCCCATTTGATGCTGTTGTGGTCAGGGACTTTGTGCCTGGTGTTGACATGACCCCTGCAGCTGGAAGCTCTCCATTGTTGGTCATTGTGTGTGACCAGGAGCTTCTGAAAGGTGCATGTATCCTTGGCCAGATGTTCTCCTTTAAAATCAATAACCTCTCCTATGGCAGCTGTTAAAAATTCCTCTCTCACACAATGCCCTATCAAGGAAATATTTCTCAGCTAGGTGATCACAGAGCCTGACTCTGTGTGTGTGTGTGTGTGTGTGTGTGTGTGTGTGTGTGTGTGTGTGTGTGTTGTAGATCACTTTCAGACTTGGGATAGAAGTGGGTGATGCGTTTTCTGGCATCCTCTTCTAGTGCCCCACACTCATAGCAAACCAGAGGCCCCAAGAGGACCGGGTTCTGTCTTTCACAGCCCTTCTGCCCCAGCTGAGATTGAGGGAGAACCACCAGGTACAGACCAGGGACAAGGCGGAGTGTGAATCAGGTCATGTTGTAATGAGAAAAGCACCAGATGGGGATCAGGAGACCTGGTTGTTCTAGTCCAGTCTCTTTCACTGAGGATGAATGGGACCGCAGGCAAGCTATTTACCCTCCTTTATCTGTGAAAAGAAAGGATTGGATTGATGAATCTGTAAAGGCCTTTGTCCTCTCCCAGAATGTGAATAACTAGGAGCCAGAAAAGGGAACAAGCAAAAAAAAGGTAGAATTTTATAACGTGATTTTATAATAGTTGCAGGAGGCTTCATGTATATGCCCACGATGAAAGGATATTGTATATGTTTACAGTGTAATTGATTTCTAATGCTTCCCATTACATTTTTATAGTCACAGAAAAATATTACATTACGTGCTTACTCAGATTTTTTTTTTTTTTTTTTTTTTTTTTTTTTGCGGTACGCGGGCCTCTCACTGTTATGGCCTTTCCCGTTGCGGAGCACAGGCTCCGGACGCGCAGGCTCAGCAACCATGGCTCACGGGCCCAGCCGCTCCGCGGCATGTGGGATTTTCCCTGACCGGGGCACACACCCGCGTCCCCTGCATCGGCAGGCAGACTCTCAACCTCTGCGCCACCAGGGAAGCCCCTCAGATTTTTTTTTTTAATTTTTAAATTTTTTTCTAGGGACCCTTAAGCAAAAACATTCTGCCCTATTTATTCCCACTTCTCCATATCCCCTACTAACACTAGGGTCTGCTCACAGCTTTCTACAGTCTGCCTCTTCATAGTCATGAATCAATACGTTTCATAATCCTGCAAATAAGTCAAACCTCCCCCACTACTAGTACTTATCAAAGATGAGATTCTTCTCTTTGTGTGGTGACTCAAAGTTCCCTTCTATCATATTAACATAACACTCACTTTTTCTTTCAGTTCTAATGATAAGCATTTTTTTTTTTTTTTTGCCACACTGCTTCCTGTATCTCCAATTTCATATACAAATAAAACATTAACCACCCACCCTGCCTGCTTGCCAAAGTTGGCACAATTAATGCTGGATGGTATTTTTTAAATAAGTGTTTTTGTTTTTTACCTTTGACTAAGCTTGATTATTTCCAAGTGCAGTGAAGATTGTGGAAAAGTGTTTTGAAAAGAGGCATCAATCTGTACTCCTCCACAGAGCATGAGGCACAATGTCTTACTCGATTTGAAGTTACGTATATATATTTTTATGATGAATAAAAATGTTAAGTACTGAATAACTGTCTATGCTGAAATTAACCGTTGTAATAAGGGATTATCAAAATAGCTAAACTGAGGATGAGAAGAGGTAAAGGTGTGACGCTAGTCGTGTGAGTGTGTGTATACGCATGTACACGTGTATAGATTCAGACTTGAGGGAAATTCTGTAAAATTTGCCACATGCTGGAGAGCATCCATTTTGGTTGTCTGTGGGTCTCGTTGCCCACCCTGGAGCTTCACAGAAGAACCTGTTATGGGCTTCCCTGGTGGCGCAGTGGTTGAGAGTCCCTCTGCCGATGCAGGGGACACGGGTTCGTGCCCCGGTCCGGGAGGATCCCACTTGCCGCGGAGCGGCTGGGCCCGTGAGCCATGGCTGCTGAGCCTGCGCGTCCGGAGCCTGTGCTCCGCAACGGGAAAGGCCATAACAGTGAGAGGCCCGCGTACCGCAAAAAAAAAAAAGAACCTGAGTTGTGCCTTGTGTGTCAGGATTCTTTCAGCTGTAAGAAACAGAAAAGCCGATGCCATGTGACTTTTACACTATAAGGTAAACTTACTATCTCACCTAACATTAGGTCCTCTAAGGTATGGTGCCTCAAAGGTGTCATTAAAAACCCAGTTATTATATACAGTGGAATATTGTGCCACCTTAAAAAGAAATAAAATTCTCATACATGCTATAACGTGGATGAACCTTGAAAACACAATGCTAAGTGAAAAAAGACAGACACAAAATGATACATATTGTATGGTTCCATTTATATGAGGTACCTAGAGTAGGCAAATTCATAGAGAAAAAAAAAGAGAGGTGACCAGGGGCAGGGGAGAGGGAAGAATAGGGAGTCATGTTTCATGGGTACAAAGTTTCTGTTTGGGATGATGAAAAAGTTCTGGAAAAGGGTAGTGGTGGTGGTTGTATGACATTGTGAATGTATTTAATGCCCCTGAATTGTATAGTTAAAATGGTAAATTTTATGTATATTTTACCACAGTAATTCTTTAAAAACCCATATGGTCTTTCCATCTCTTTGCCCTGCCATCCTCAGTGTCCCAGCTGGGCTTTCCTTAGAGTTGTACTATGGCTGCACCAGTGTTAGGCACAGATATTGAAGCATCCAGCCTAATAAGACAGTGGGAGTGGTTCACCCAAGTGAGGAAAAATATTTCTTCACTGCATTGTTGAAAATTGGTCATGAAAAACAAAATGGCCGGGCAATTTCTAGCGAGCGCGCCCTCAAGAATTAACTTAGCAGGCGCCAAAGCTGATGCGCAGGCGACGTCATTACGTTAGCGTAGGGCGCAGAAGTATTTAAGTGAACCTGAGCCAGCGCAGAGTCTGAAAACTTCGGCGAACCTAACAATGGCGGGGACGGGTTTGGTGGCCGGAGAGGTTGTGGTGGATGCGCTGCCGTATTTTGACCAAGGTTATGAAGCGCCTGGTGTGCGGGAAGCGGCTGCGGCATTGGTGGAGGAGGAAACACGCAGATACCGACCTACCAAGAACTACCTGAGCTACCTGACAGTCCCGGATTATTCCGCTTTTGAAACCGACATAATGAGAAATGAATTTGAAAGATTGGCTGCTCGACAACCAATTGAATTGCTCAGTATGAAACGATATGAACTTCCAGCCCCTTCCTCGGGTCAGAAAAATGACATTACTGCGTGGCAAGAATGCGTAAACAATTCTATGGCCCAGTTAGAGCATCAAGCGGTTCGAATTGAGAATCTGGAACTAATGTCACAGCATGGATGCAATGCCTGGAAAGTGTATAATGAAAATCTAGTTCATATGATTGAACATGCACAGAAAGAGCTCCAGAAGTTAAGGAAACATATTCAGGACTTAAACTGGCAGCGAAAGAACATGCAACTCACAGCTGGATCTAAATTAAGAGAAATGGAGTCAACTTGGGTTTCCCTGGTCAGTAAGAATTATGAGATTGAAAGGACTATTGTACAATTAGAAAATGAACTCTTTCAAATGAAGCAGCAACATGGAGAGGCAAACAAAGAAAACATACGGCAAGACTTCTGAAAGACTAATCTGGTGGGTAGAAAGGAAGGCATGTTGGGCTTTCACAGATCAAACATCTAAACTGTGAAGAACAGCATCTTATGGAAATCATCAGTGGTTAAATGTTTAGAAAGCATAGAATGTAGACTGTTATATTCTGTTTGTACATTTCAGCAAAATAAAAAATTTCAACATGAAAAAAAAAGAAAATTGGTCATGTTGATAATAAAAAGCCATCTGACTTCTAATTGGTTTTATTATTATTTTTAAATTCTCTCCACCTGCATCCAGGCGGACTACTCCCATCACCTCCCCCTCTCCCTCACACTGTTGAGTCAGATGCCCTGGTGTTTTTTTCTTTGATGTTCACTGTGTATCTTTATTTCAGTTCTGTGGTATTTGAGTATTTACATTTTCATCTTTACAAATATCTTTTTAAAATGTTTTAAATTTTATATTGAAGTATAGTTGATTTACAATGTGTTAGTTTCAGGTGTACAGCAAAGTGATTGTTATATATATACATATATCCATTATTTTTCAGATTCTTTTCCTATATTGGTTACTACAGAATATTGAGTAGAGTTCCCTGTGCTATATCGTAGGTCCTTGTTGGTTATTTTATATATAGTAGTGTGTGTATGTTAATCCCAACCTCCTAATTTGTCCCTCCCCCCATTCCCCTTTCCTGTTTGAAAATAAACCATAAGTTTGTTTTCTATGTCTATGATGTTTTTTCTGTTTTGAAATAAGTTCACTTGTATCTTTTTTTTTTTTTTAGATGCCACATATAAGCGATATTATATGATGTTTATCTTTCTCTGTCTGGCTTACTTCACTTAGTATGATAATATCTAGGCCCATCCATGTTGCTGCAAATGGCATTATTTCATTCTTTTTTTACGGCTAAGTAGTATTTCATTGTATGTATGTACCACATCCTCTTTATCCATTCATCTGTCTATGAGCATTCAGGTTGCTTCCATGTCTTAGCTATTGTAAATAGTCCTGCAGTGAACAT